TCTTTGCTATAAAAGTACTCTGAGCTGAGCACTGTGGTTCAAACATGAGCATCTATCTAAGGCTGTTTGGATTTTTGTTACTTCCAGCTGAGCCAATCCTCTATTTAGTAAGCCACCCAGGAGATTCCTGAAGTTGGTTCATTATGCCAGACTGAGATCCTTTTAAAGCAGTCTGTTCTCCTGGTCACAAATGGAAATTATGAGAATGTACTTGAGGACATTTAGGATATGAGGTGTTGGATGTGAGCTAACAAGTGACTTAAGAAAGTGCTGAGATACTGGAGTGAAACATCTGAACACCCAAAAACTTGCTCAGTTGTTTCTTTATTTTGCTAGGTAGTCTTCTGCCTGACTCAGTTCCTTAAACATCTGAGGCCATGCTCCTTTCATTGCTCTGTAAGTGATTTTATCTGAGTATTTTGGTGGTCACATTCATATCTGTGCCCAGGCTGCAGACAGGAGCCGTGTGTTTCTTTGTTGTTGTAATGTGATTTGCTCCCAAAGCCTCACATAGACTATGCATGAAAGGGACTCATGGCTCCTGTTTTTCAGACACGTGGTGGTAGTGCAGCTTCTTGTATTCAATAACTTAAAATTCAGTTCATGCTGTGGAAAACCAGCAGTAAATCAGGTGAGTGTCTACAGTCTTCAATATCTGACTGGAGAGGACAGTAAAAACTGTACAGCAGAGGCACAAGTTAATAAAACCAGATATTGAATTATTTCCAAGACAGAGATAAGGTTTATTAGCTTGGATATAATGCTGTGAAATGGTTGTTCTTCTGACACTGAATTAGTTTTCACTGAGTAAATTCGGGTTCTTATGGGCATTGTGCAAGTGTATGTGACTGTGCTGTAGGGTTGTTTCTCTCTGGCCTCATCTTCAAGGACCCCCAGTAAGGATTTGAGTGGAAAATGCAGGATGAGCATCTACAAAAATGGACACTATTGGACAAATGTTCTTGCTAAAAAACTAGGAAAAGCTTAATGATTCAGGTCAAAGCTGGTATCTCTAGATGCTCCACTGCAGCTGTGTATTGCCAATTGGATAACATCCCTGTGTTACATCTCTGAGTGCAGCCATGTCTGTCCTCCAAAGCACTTATCTCTGGTATTGAACTACTTGTACCTGGTGCTTCTGAATAACATGACTGTACTTTCGAATATGATGAACTGAAACATTGTGGTTATAGTAGTCTACAGCCATGCTAAGTGTTTTGTACTTTGGTTTAAATTACCAGGTTTCCCGTGACTCAGTCCATTCAAGTTTTGGCAATTCCAGGTGAACAAACATGCATGCACACACAGAGGTCTTCTTTGAGATATTATTAACAAGAATGTAGAGGATTTATTGCAGCATGCCTGCTTGATTGGTAAACAAGTTTGTTGAGGCTATAGTTTTGAATCCCATCCAACTTTTTTTGTTTACAGAAATGATCTCTCAGCTTCCACTTAGGCAGTAATTTAACATTACTTTCCTTCAGCTATTGATATCTATCATTGTATAAAAATCACCGTGTTTTTACTTGTCTTCCTAAAATACAATACCCTGCTCTACATCCATTCTATATTGAATCAAGTGAGATTCATAAAACCTTTGACCAGGTGCTGACATTGATGGTCAATTCAGTAGGGTATAAACACATACACATACATACATCCTCCCCCCATCTTGTGATGGGCCTGGCACATGAAGCATTTGAAACCACAGGTTCAGAAAGCCTTGCAAAACCTTACTACTCCCTTTTTAAGGCTCCTCTGATTGCACTGAGCCACTGTTAGAAAACTTGCTCTGTATCCACTGGTAGAGTACAAGCATCAGTTGAACTTGCATGTGCTGAGATAATGCAGAAGAGCTACATTGTGGTATGACACCCTCTTCACTGACAGGGCCAGGCTATACCTATCTCTTCCCCTGTCTAGGCTCAGAAGGAGGGACAATGAAGAATATCTAGGTTTAACCATAGACAGAAACCACGAGTCTGGAGCCTGTGAAGTGTAGAAGTGGTCCCGAGTTACAGAATCATAGAATCAGCTGGGAAGGGACCTCTGAGATCATCAAGTCCAACCCTTGATCCACTACTGCTGTGGTTACTAGACCATGGCCCTAGGTTCTGACATTACCGTTGCTCTGTGTTGCCTGTTATAGCATCTACTAATATTTTGCCTGGATTTTAAAAGTAATAGTCCAGGAAAAGGCTGATATCTTGCTCTCACAACATGAATTTGCTTCAGAGTGAAAAATGTGACATTCAGAAACATGGGTAAAGAAGGGTCACTAGACAACAATACCCCAGGGCTTATCTTAATATTTTAAACATGTTATTTCTGGGAGTTCTCTGAGAATTAGGCAGTGGTTGAGGAACTTAAACTATAGATGGAGGTACTGAGAGAGGTAATAGGGCACCTACCTCACTCTTAGTCCCGAAGGACAGCCCCTCTCCCAGTCTACTGCAATAACTGTGAGTACAGTGGAGATATGACCAGGGTACTAGAGACATCACTACACCTTAGGGAAATTTAGCTTGATTGTAACAAAAGCGATGTGATTATCTTAGAGCTGGGCTGCTACATGTGCAGGGAAGAATTAGATATATTTTAAAATAAAATAATACAATGTTAAAGAAAAACATGACATTAAAAAATGACTTAAAAATAAATCTCTCAAAATTCCACTCTCTGAAATTTATTAAAGAAAATTGAATTATGCTGGAGTCTGTATCCTGGTCATCCTGTTGCTAATATCAATTCAATGTTAGCAACAAAAACTGAAGCTAATCATCTGGTTCATTTTGCCCTGTGCTTTTCTGTACTGGACAGTCATGTTCTATATAACATTTAACACAGATATCAAGCATCACTTTAAAACTGACCACATAGATCTTACCTCTTGGTTCTGGAAAAAGGCTGTCCTGGAGCATTACTGCTTAGCAGCAGCTGTCACCTTCTAATTTCCAGTTTTCAGCCCTGAGGAGTTTACTTGCCTTTGTTCTTGAATCGAATGTATCCTCTTTGCTTATAGTAGCCATGTAATCCCTTCCACAATCTGCAGTCCTCCACAGAGACACACTGTTCCTTCTTGTAGCCCTTCTCTGCACCTATTTCAGTTGGCTTCATCTGAATAAGAGTAGTTGACCCAAATTGTGCAGAGTTGTATTGGGTTTGCATGACCAGGTTTTGGTAGTGAGGAGCTACAGGAGGGCCTTCTGTGAGAGATTGCCAGAAGCTTCCCTTGTCTCCAACACAGCCAATGCCAGACGGCTCCAGGATGGACCCATCACTGGCCACGGCTGAGCCCCTTAGTGACAGTGGTAGTGCCTCTGGGATAATGGATTTAAAAAGGAGGGGTTGGGGAGGGCAGGCAACTGCTGTGAAAACAGCAGCCAAAGAGAAGAGTGAGAACACGTGAGAGAAACAGCCCTGCAGACACAAAAGTCAGTGAAAATGGAGCAGGAGGAGATTCTCTAGATGCCAGAGTAGAGATTCCCCTGCAACGCATGGAGGTCCATGGTGGAGCTATCTACCCTGTTGCCCCTAGAGAACCCCATGCCAGAGCAGGTGAGTGCCCAAAGGAGACTGTGTGAAACCTGTGTTGAAGAAGGCTCCTGGCAGGACCCATGGCCCAATAGAGAGAAGAGCCCATGCTGGAGCAGGTTTGCTGACAGGACTTGTGACCCCATACAGGACCACACTGGAGCAATCTGTTCCTGAAGGATAGCACCTCATGGAAGAGACCCCACACTGGAGCAGGGGAAGAGTGTGAGAAGTCCTTCCCCTGAGAAGGAAGGAGCAGCAGAGACAACCTGTGATGAACTGACTGCAGTCCCTATTTCCCATCCCTCTGCACCACTGTGGGGCAAGCAGATAGAGAATTCAGGAATAAAGATAAGCCTGGGCTGGGGGGAAGGCGATTTCTCATTATTCACTCTGATTTGACTAGTAATAAATTATTTTTCCCCAAGTCAAGACTGTTTTCCCTGTCACAGTAAATGCTGAATGATGTCTCTTTCTCCTTATCTAGACCCATGAGCCTTTTGTAATATTTCTTCTCCCTGTCCAGCTGAGGAGGGGAGTGACAGAGAGGCTTTGGTGGGCACCTGGTATCCAGCCAGGGTCAGCCCACCACAAGAGTATCACTGTATTTATGTTTAGGCATTGGTAGCTGGTGACAGAGACTAAGAAATAGCAATTTGCTATCTAATATAACTTTTATTCAAACTATTTATAGTAATAACATTTATTTCTTACTATTATTCTGAAGTGAAAATGCTCCATTTCAGATTTGAGAAGAAATAAGTAATTCAGTTGGTATTTCTAGAAATATAATTAGTTGATGAGTCAGAGAAGAATTTCATTTTCATAAATGTTAGGGTTGGAAGACTGGGTGTCTGACCTGTGGCTGCGTCATGTCTTAGGAGTCTGCCTGGTAATTCTTGCGTCAGTTTGTAATTAAGCTGGAATATTGTTCGGACAAGACTGAATAAAGGGCCCAAACCACATTCTTGCAATGTACTGAATGTTATTTCACACAAACAAACAAAAGGTACACCCCACAGACAAGCCTGAATATGATGATTCATCATTTTAATTAAAAAATTGAGGACCATTAACATTTACTAATAGGCTAATCTCTGATAATTCAGTGCAAATTTTTAGAACATCATACATAACCATGAACCAATAAGTTTATGTATATGTATATGTATATGTATATGTATATGTATATGTATATGTATATGTATATGTATATGTATATGTATATGTATATGTATATGTATATGTATATGTATATGTATATATCTGTCTATATACATAATGCAATAAAACATATTTCTATTTATGGGAGTCTAAGCCTTACCAAGAACTTGTATTAGCCATGTGAGATTAGTAAATAGAAAAGAAAGCAGCTGGGATAAAATGAAAAGGCATAAACTCATCAAAATCTAGAATGCAATAAAAACCATGGAAGAGGAAACTGAAAACCAAAAATGAACACCACGTAAAACAAAAGATAATATTTTATTGACTGGAAAACAGATTGCTATGTACTTGTTGGTCAGTCATTATTTGTACTGATCTTATGCCACTGCAGTTCAGCCTTGACTTAGCTATGCACACATATTCTTTTTTTTAAAGTATTTTTTTTCAGTCTCCTATCTAAAGTAATGGCTGTCTTCACTATGAATAAAGGTCACTCAAGTCAGCCAAAAAATTCTATGCACTTAAGGTCAGAATCTAAAGAAGAGTGACTTAAAGACATTCTAGATGAAGACTCAAACAGTGCTGAACAGTGCAGAACCTAGTATTCTTAACATCACTGCTCCATTCACAATGGCCCAGTACATGGACCAGGCCACTGTAACATACAGTATGGAAAAAGGAAGAAATATGTTTGTAACACAGCTCTAGATGACCTTTAATAACAGACAATTGAGTGCTGAAGCTTAGCAAGCAGATAGAACCTTCTCGAAGCCAGCTGCCTAGAAACCAGGACCTTGTACTGCAAGCAAGAACTGCCTAGCTTGCAATGACAACATTACTAATTCTTGACACACTATTGGCAACTACATGTGGCACATGGTAACATGAATTGAGTATTGGTTCTGGAGAGCTTATAGCCTGTTGTCCACAAGCAGGCATTTACAAGAAAAAAGATGGACTATGAATCAAAGACCTAGCAGAATTGAAATGGTAAGGCCATTAACAGGGCTTTGATTGCTGTCAAAGAAGCTTTGAAGAGACAAGGTTAAAGGGACAAATGTGAGTGTGCTCTTGTGTCAGCTAATTAAAATATACACTTTATGCATGTATTTGAAGGTCTAGTGAAGACAATGGAGAAAGAGTCCTAAGGTACATTAGGTATATTAGCTATATACCTTAGTCCTATATCCTAAGGTATATTAGAAAATGTACATTAGCACTATTCAATCTTGGGCAATCCTCACCTCTTTTTTTCAAAATATGAGTTTATTTATGTTCTAGAGCAACTATGTCTGAAAAATTAAGCACAGTTACCCAATTTTGGGAAAGGACCTGTGTTGTAGTGTTTTGAATGCCTGAAGACTATGTTTTTGAGGAGCAATCGCAATCCCAGTAAGAGGAGGAAGGTGACCTTTTTTCCCCTTTATCTAGCCCTGGAAGGAGCATCTCTGACTCAGTGGCCCTCTCTGTGGAAGCATCTCCTCCTCACAGTTTCTGCCTGCTTTGTCAGCATCTTTTTGGCCTAAAGTGTGGACGAATATAATATTTATGAGTTGTTCTCATCGATTTTATGATCCAATAGAAAAATGTATGTGCCTAGCTCTCCATGCCCAAGTCTGCATCCGTAAAACAATGTTAATGCCTCATCAATATTCATATACCATACAGACTTTTCACAATCCTCCTTGGTTTCATGGGAGATGAAAGGTAAATTTTTAAGCTTCTAACAGCAGAGTGCAGTGTGTTACAAGGAAAACATAATGTAGTTAGATTTAAAATATATGTGAATCTTTTCTGCATAATTTTCTTAACCAGTATGGGGCTGTTTAAATTTTTTTATAAGCAGTTATAGATATGATAGAATTAAACTGCTGAGGGAAAGTTACTTGAATGACTAAATAACTGTTACAACTTTTATGTGATTTTCTTACAGCAGAGTAATGAACTGTGTTGTTACAGAGTGAGAATAATGCAGCTGTACAGCTTTCCACAGAACTACGAAGCAGAGGCACATTCATGGCAAAGGATGTCATCCTGCCGAGTGAGGAATTCCCTGCTCACCAGTGAGACAGAGCATTTTGCACAGTTAAAGCATTCCCCGTGCCACTGACGCTCTTCAAATGAGATATATTTGGCACTTCCGAGAGCTGAAATAGATTATGAAAAAGATATGAATCCAGTATTTCTGAACGTGGTTCAGAAATGTAACAGATTGCTTTCTGATGTGTGATCAGGTTGTCATGCATACAGTGAACAAACAAATGAACAAAAATCCATAGTCTGAAATATTCTTTGTTGACTGAATTGAAAAAAACCCCATAACTTTAAAATTAAATACAGTGAGAAGTATTGTAAGTAAAACCACAAGTCACTCGCTTGCTTGCATATTCCATTATGAGCTCTGAACACAATGGTTTTATCAGAATGTTCGCTCAGATTTGCTGATCTTCCCAACAAATTCTCATGAAAATTATTTGCAATATGCTTATACATATAGTTTCTATACAACATTTAATGAAATTTATAATTTTCACCTAAGTTTCTTCAAGATGGAGTCTTTTGGAAATTACCAGATCACAGAATTCCTAACACAAGTATCTGAAATAAAATCTCGAGGTTTGTGGGGATTTGAATGTTTTTGATTTGTTAGTTGTTGTTGTTTTGTGTTTGTTTGGATTTTTTTTGTAAAATCATGCACATTTGATTGGGTAATCATCATTTTCTTTGTCCACTGACATATGCAGCATGCATCTGTTAAAATCAGGCAGTATTTTTTTCAACAGTTTAGTCCACACATAATAGAATTACAATGCAGAACACCAGCAAATGCTCTCAGAAAACTTCAGTTGTCATAGACTAGTGACATATATGTCTAATTATAAATCATCTAAGTACAAAAGGATGCATGTGATAGAGTTTTGTTGCATTTGGCAAGCTTTCTAATTTGACAGGTGTGCCTTACCAGCAGGCAATTAATCTGTGTTCAGCTTGATCACATTTGCATTTAAAAACAAAACTGAAGAAATTACAGACATGAGGGACTTGTGCGTACTGTCCTGGGAAGAGCAAAAAAAACCCTTTTCTTATATTTTTAAGGAGGAATTTTAGTGCAGAATCAAATCAAATGATGGAGGAACTCCTTTCGGCACATAAAACGACTCCTCGGCAGTTAGGGAACATGTGTAATCAGCATGTCCTAGCAAGATATATTACATGTAATATAGAGTGTGTCTCTCTAGTGGTGAACTCCTTCAGTCTTTCATTGTGATGAGACTATTTTTTAATGGTGTTTTCTAAAGTAAAGCTTTTGGAAGAGACTGATGATTCATCACTGTCTAGTCCCCTTTAAAAGATGAGACTCACCTGTAACAGGTTTCTTGCAAGCAGCACACTTCTTAGCATACAATTTGCTGAAACAGTCCACACAGTATGGGTACTCATCTTTGGAAATAAACCTTTGTCCATACAGCTGGGTTTTACACCCAGCACAAACAAAACATTCTTTATGCCAAGGCTGGTCATGGCAGGTCACGCCTCCAGAAGTTATTACCTAATGTATTGACAAAGAAGGACAGAGCAATGAAACAAAGGTGTGAATCAGGAAGGATTGTCCCATCCTTCATAAGTAATTACACTTGTTTTCTCTCTTCCCATATGCACAAGAGGTGAGACTGTGGTCACATCAACTGTTTTTCATCTGTATTTTCAATTTGACTAACTGCAGTTGAGCTCAATGAGCTAGTGGTTTGTTTTTCAATTTTCTATCACAATATAGCCTCCAAATTTGTAATAATCAGGTTGTCTTCTAATGAAATTTTTCTGTTTTATTGTAGACAAAGGTTTAAAATCAGGGATGCTCTCAGAAGAGAAATTCTCAGTGATGGTCAGTGGGTGAGAGAACTGATGCTGAGATAACGGTTAGTCTCCAATTGGAACTGGTATTTTGCTGTCTCACAATTGAAACAGTATTTTAAATAGGAAGAAAGACAGTAAAGAAGTCTAAGCAAAACAGAGATTTACACTGTTAGAAGAAGAAAAAATGGTGTTTAGCAGTGTCATCAACTTTCATTCCCAGCCACTCACTCACAGCTCTGCACTGGTTATTTCTGAAGAGGAAAATTTCCAGTTTTTTATGGCTCCCATATGTGTGGTAAAGAGCTGATTTCACAGAAGTTGTGAGAGACTGTACAGAAAAAATTCTATAAAGATGAGTTGTAAGGTAGTGTTTCTACTGTCAAATCACATGCATGACAGCGAATGAATAAATGAATGAATGAATGAATGAATGAATGAATGAATGAATACAGTTGGAACAGGAGGAGAAAAAGTTGGAGAAACTTAAGCAGAAATAGCGCTGGGGAATAGAGTTTCAGGGAAATAAAGAATAATACTGCATCGTGTCAAACAATAAAAAGACTTAAATAGTTCCTGATCCCTTTAACATTCCAGTTTTGGGCTATTCCAAAGTCACGTTTGCCTTTCCATTAAAATCTAAAAATCACTGGCACAAAATTCACGGTTTCAGTTTGGCAATTTAATCACTTTGGGCTCAATTCTCATTTATGGGAACTGATGCAAGTTTAAGAAGTACAATTGTTTCAGCTATTATACAGGGGGACACTTTGCATTCCTAGAATTTTTAAGAAGCAAATCTTGATTATTTCACATTGGTGCTGCTAACCTCAATGCCTCTAATAAACATCAAGCATAATTACTATAATTGCCATGTGATCATTTAATACAAATTAAAGGCTAGATGTAGAGACATGAAAATATATAAAAGTACTTTCAAAAGTTTAACTACTGAAGAAAAAAAAACAAGTTTACAGGTAAACATTAAATAACTGCATAAATTATAAGTTATTTGATGAAGTGAAAAAAAAAATTTGTTTTGCTTCCAGAGTGATAGAGGTACTAAAGAATGAGTTAAATTCTGCCATAAAAAACAGCTTAAAACAGTTCCCTAGAAAACAGTATCACATTAGAATAGTATGATGAATAGTATGATACTCTGAGTTTTTTTCATCAAGTAGAGACAATTTTAAAATGTGAGAAATCACATTGTACTTGGGGGAAAAAAGAAAAACTCATTTGAAATCAAGCTTTCTGGTACCCACAGGGAAAGTGTCATGTATTGAAGCAGTGGGACTCTTGACTAGCGTTATAACAATTGAATGTTACTTGAGCTGATAATTGCCTGATACATTTCAAGGAAAAAAAAGACAAGACTGTGGATGCCTTGCTCGGCTTAGGTGACTTGTACATGTGAATATATGCATAAAAATGATGGAAAGAGAGGCAAGTTTGCCAAGGCAAAATCAGACATTATCAGGAAAGAAGGCTTTTACATAACTTTCTGTTTAACCTTTGCTAAAAATCACAATCAGTAACAAAAGAAGCCCAAAGCATTTGTTTTGGTCAATAAGTGTATTTCAAAGATAATCAGTCGTAGATTAATATTAACCAGAGTGGACAGCTGACACTGCTGCAGTTGGCTTTCAGTGCCCAATGTCAAAAGCAAGACTCTGCTCTTATTCTTAGTTCACCAGATGTTTTATATGACCCAACCCTTTCCACCATGTCTCATTAGGACAGGTTTTACATTACATGTTCAATTACCTTTTTGCAAGAGTAACAATGGTGAGCAAATTGCTTCTCAAAGCAGGGCACGCAGTAATTCTCATTGTCTTTGGTGATTAATGGTTTTGTTCCCAACGGTTGCTGACAATACCGGCAAACAAAACAGGATTCATGCCAGGAGCTCCCCTTAAATTCCATTTTACGGGAACCTGAAAAAACCCAAAGTGAACAATCCCCCCCGATACAGCCTTGTAGTATAAGTTTTAAATGTTGAGAATACTCTTGTTTTCAACCTTCGATCTTAGTAGCAGGTCACCCAAGAAAGCACTTATCTTAAATTTAATAGAGCTTCTAAGAATGTACTTGAAATTTCAAGAACATATTCAGATCCATACAATCACCTGGCAAAAGATGTGCTACAATGCCTAAGCTGTGATTTCGAGTCTGTCCTTATATTAATCTTTTGAGGTTTTTTCTTTGTGATTATGCTTCAGTTACTCAGATTTTCTCTCAAGCCAGCCAACTCAGTGATAATGTTCAGATTCACAGCACTTTTATAAATTAGAAATTAATTTCTGGGATGCTTACTACATCTATTATTGTCTTGTCTTTTGTCTTCCTTAACTATGGCTCCTTCAATTATAAATGCATTATTTATCTTAATCAGCTTAAACTGGCCAGTTTTTAAAAGTAAATATTTTTTCTGTGATGCAGTGCATTACACTGCCTCTTCTTATAGCTCATATTTTCATCCTAGATCAACAGTTTTTTTATCATGTTTAACTAGATGCTTTTGATACAGCTCAAGGACAGAAAGTAGTTCAGTTAAATACCTGTCAGAGGAGTTTCAGAGATTTTATCTCTGTGTACAGGTGTCCTGTACACCTTGAGGTAGAAGCATAAGTCTAAGATACGCACAGACAACTGAGAACGAATTTTCCAGTGAATCTCCATCATACCTTCCCTGTAGGTAGCATTAGATTGCTAAGACAGGTGCAAGGTAATTTACCATCTTTTCCACATGAAGAAGAGAATTGCCAGTATAACAGATTAATCCCACATTACCTGTTTCCTGGACTGTGGGGCTAGTGGAGAAACTACTGGTTGTATTCAAACAGAAAAGGTTTGCAGCTTCATCCCAGTGATTCCAGTGATCAGAAGGCTAACTTTACTGTCTTTGCCTACTAGGTCTTTTCAACTCAGAGCTAGTGAGCTGATGAGAAGGAAGTTAATGACACAGAGACGGGCTGGTGTTCCCATGCCCCTTCAGTTCTCTGTTTGCACTGTTACCTTCAGGCGCTTGCTGCAAGGATTTGTACTCCTAGACTCTGGGGTAATACCTGAGACATGAATATACACCAGAAGACAATTACGCAAACCTGAGTAAATTCTGGTACTATTCTCATCACATCTAGTAAGGTGTGCCTATTTGACTACATTTTTGTAAACTATATACCATTTATACAGTATATAGTCTTTAAACTGAACACAACTATATTGCTACAACATTTATTTCCTCTAATACAGCTTTTACCTGTCATGAAGAGGAAATAAACTGTAAAATTACAAATCAGCGTTCAGGTTGAACATGACATCAATAACCTAGTATTTATACTAAGACAATAATTCTGCACAGCCTGGACCTTATTGTTTGGTATTAGATCTGCTGAAAGAGAAAATTCCTGTGTCACTGCCAAATTTACTGATATCCTTCACCAAAAATTCCCAAGCCAGTAGTCATGAGGCCATAGCAGATAATTTGCAGCTGGTATTTAGAGTTATATGCAGGATCTGTAAAATGTTTTAACCATTGAGGGTAGTTATCTGTTCTGAAAGTTGAGTACTTGCTTGCCTAAGCAAGCAGCTTCATTTTTCCACATTCAGTGCTATGGCTTCTCCTAGATGCCTCTGAAGAGGTGTCTTTTGGGCAATCTCTCTGCTGTATGAGCTTTACTGGTGTGGTAGCAATGAAAGGCCTAGAGGATGTCCTGAACAAACGTGATCACAAACTGAGAGGCAGTTTAGTGGAAAGTGTAGAATTTTCAAGTTTGCTGATGGCAGGAAGTAAACTTACTGTAAACACAAATGTATTCTTTTTAGCAAAAATGCTGATAATGATTTGAAGGCAGATTGTCATGTTTTGACAGTTTAAACAAAAATATTTCTGAATGAAAGGAATGGTATAAAGAACATAAGCTCAAGGTCTGGTTAATGTGATAGACAAACATGCAGATGTCCTGTCTCATCAGTCACTCCTGCTCACAATAGCTCAGTTTATCTACCTACTCTCACAGAGGGATATGCTTCCTAAGAACTACAACAGAATCAAGGACATAAGATGAACTCGTTTTACCCAGTCTTGAACTCTTGATTTTTTTTATAAGGATTCATAAGATCTGTCAGTGCTAGATCAGAGGTATCTGCCTGCCCTCTCCTCACTACCACGAGCGTACTACACAGAAAGGAGGAGTAGTCATCTCAAAGCTGTACTGAAAATCAAGGACATTGTAGCCTGCTTTTCCAAGAAAGCGCTCAAAATTAAAAATGCAGCTCTATTTTTCACAGAAGGGTCCCTGTTGTCTTACCAGGCATAATAGTCTTCTGGCAGTGGAAACACTTCGATGAATACTCATCAGAGTAGCATTCTGTACACAGCAAGACCTCGTCCTTGGCAGCAAACGGTTTCTCCACCAGTGAGCGACTGCACTTGGCACACTTGAAGCACCTCTCATGCCAGTGGCGGCCTTTGTAAGCCAGATCCTTGGAGAAAGTAAGTTCATGTTAATGAAAACATTTCTTCACAGTGTTTTTATCCTTCAGCTCCTCACAGAATTAAAATAAAAAACGGAGAGCACTGCAGTGGTGACTTGACAAGATGATAGGTGAATCCAGCCAGGGGTGTGCTCAGGAATGATGTAAGTACTCAATGTCACGCTGTTTTGTAGATCTCTTGCAGAGGCCATTAGGAGCTGCTCTAGCAGATACAATGGTCCTTCCTTCCTTATGTAACATCAGAGAGACATTTTTATGGGAAGAATCATTTTATATTTTACAGTTGGCCTTCAAGGGGAAACAAGTTATAAACATTTTTAATATGCACAGACCACCTGACAAGAAGTCCATTCTCTATAGAATTTGAAATGAACCTCATGTATTTTCAATGTTACTTCTTTTTTCTTCCAGCTGACACTGCATAACACTAAAAGAAAGATCACATTATTGCAGAAAACAAATAATTAAAATCTCATTGAGAACAAAGTGATTATTAGGAAGATTTAAAAAAATCACTGCTTTTGTTTACACCTGATATAAATCCTCCTGAAAACTGAGCAGAAAAATGTTTGTTTAAGGCTCAGCAGGCTTAGGAAATGAAAGAGCTAACAATGTATGTATGAGACCTTGACTAAGAATTCAAAAAAAGACCAAACAGCATATATAATTTTTCCAAGGTTAAAAAAACAAGGCAAAACCAAACCTCAGCCCTCCTCCCCCAAACATAAACCAGCCTCTTCCAGATCTCCTTTATAAGTAAGAAGCACAAAAGGGCACAAATCCAATGTCATTGTTATCCTTTGTCAAGTCCCCACCTTTTAAAGTGCTCAAAATGAAAGAAATACCATGCTTCATTTCAGGAGGTGCTGAGCACTTAACATTTTAATTTGTTTTAGTTAGCACTCTGAACCTTGCTGGAAGAAGGCTGTCAGCCTAGACCAGCCTGAGGCAAAGACTGAGTAGGAAGGAGGGGAAGAAAGCCAAGCTCTAACACCTTGGCAGAGGTGGGACATTAGCTGTAGATTTCTGGGGGCCATTTTTCTAGATTACTCTAACCTGTTGCACTCCTTTCTTGTCACCCCTGCTTTTTTCTCAGATTTTTTTCCTTCCACTCAGTCCAAATACACAACTTCTTGCGTATGATCTTTGATAATAGTAATCCTGTCATTAATATTCAATTTTAAAAGTGAAATTATTGAGTTGAAAGCGTATGTTTTCCAGGTGAACCTGACTGGTGCTACGTGTTCAGTTTTGCTGTTGCAAGAATGCTGATGAGAGTTTGAGGAGTGTCTTAATCCAAGCCAGCATTTTCCTTGCATGATTCCTGTACTCAGACAACGTGCTTTGAAGTGCTTTGGCTGGGGAAACCTTCCAAGAGACTTATTTTAGTAACTTTCACCGTTTATTTCAAAAGAATGGAGGCAAAGTGAGCATGGAGGGAAGGTGAACACTGCACACTGAAACTGGCAAGGCAAAGGCTTTTTGCTAGGTTTCATCTGAACTTAAAATTTAAAGTCAAGTGTATGTGCTTTAAATTGAAATATGGGGTACTGGAAACCCTGTCAAAGACCACAGAGGAATTTGTATTATTAATTAATATTGTAAGGAAAAGGAGAGTTGAAAGGAAAGCCAAGGTCAGAAACATTACCACTAACATGCCATCTGTGAGATGAGCAAAGTAAGCATGGAATTAAGCAAAAATTAAAAAATACTTCATTTCCAAAACCACATGGAATGATATGTAAATTATAAACATGTTGTCTTTTCAGTTTGGCACCTGCATGTCAAAATCTACAGTAAAAGTAATTTATTCAATATACAAAATATTTTTTCAATGGACATTTCTCAGAAATTCCAAAGTTTCATTCAACCTGATACACTGAATTACATCAGCACCGTATCATCTCTCCGGTACTGTGCAGCTTCTGCAGCCAGTGTGTGACTGGAGGTGAAGTCTAGTTGTGGTCCACACACACAGCCTTGCCGTATGCTTGAGATATATATATGGCAGATTTCCTAATCTTTGGTCCCAGAGCTTTCCTATTCTGGGAAAATAGCACTGCTCCTGTGTGTGGATGTACAGCTGCCGTGCTTAGGTCTCCTCAGCAACACAGGGATATGCAGAGTATTGGATATAGAATCTGCCATTAAAGGAATTGGATTTGTGCGTAATTTAACAAAGAAGAGGAATCAAAAGCTAGATGTTTACCTTGGAATTGCACTCAATAGGTTGCTTGCACTCTTCACAGGGGTTGGCATACAGGCTGTCATAACATGCAACACAATAAGCGTTTTCATCTCTCAATGCATATTTCCTTCCACGAAGAGACTGCAGGCAGTAATGACAGTCTGTGTGACTGCTGCTCATTCTGTTGGGGTTCTCCACGTGATCTGGAAAGATGGGCAAATCATGTAATTCAGTGGATGGCCATTTGCTTGGTCAAATAATAAGTAATGCTGCATTACCTGTGAAAGTTAGACAGGCATTTTTTGATCATTTGCAGTACCCTAGATTTCTTAATGCTGGGTCATTCTGTAATAAAATGGTAGCCTTTAACAATGTATTGTATTGTATTACCAACATGATGGGGAACAAGAGGACTGCTTCAGCTTATTCTAATCGTGCTAACACTATTTCAGGTCAGACACCTGTAAATGAAGCCAAGTTCACATTCTCTGTGTACAGCTACTGGTATTATGAGCATTATAAATTGGATTTTAAGACATGGTTTATCCAGAAATCAGATAATGGACATAGAAGCAATGATCCAAAAATGAAACCAACTGTGGAGTTATAAAAAGGCCAAAGAGAAGGGGCAAGAACTTTATGGTGTTTTCCTGACTTTCTCTTGATATTCCTGTCTTTTGTTCATTCCTTCTTTTTCAAAATATCCCCACATCTACCTAACTGAACAGAAGGAAGACGAGGGACTCCAGGATATATGACTGTCTTTTGCATTATCCCAACTGTGCTGTTAATATTTGGTGGCAATGTAAGGTCACACAAATACCCATGGACAGCAAAGAGTAAAATATAAAGAGAAATAAACTAAATCATAAGTCAAACAAAATCATAACTCAGAGAAAATTTCCCTTGTTGTTATTGGAAAAGATTGTTTTTTTCTTACATATTTCTTTATTGCTGGGTTCCATGTTGGCAGTACCAAAATAATGTGAGTTAGTTTATATTTCTGTGCCAAACAAGTGCAGGAAATACCACAAATCTATTGAGAGCCAGTTGTACAAATTTCCCATCCTTCAGTTTTTCAGGCTAAAGAGGCTTGGATAAGTATCCAAACCTCAGCTGCTTATAGATCTGCAATGCTGAATGTTTTAAGGATTGTGGAGATGAAGACTTATTTCAGTCTTCTTGTTGCTGATTGGATCATCAGCACTTTGCTAAAATTGGGTCTTGATTCCTGGAAATGAAGGAAGAAGAAACCAGAAAGTTCACAGTGAAGCAAACCCAAAAACATCTGCTGGACTCGTTGGATTGCACTCTTTGTTAAAATCACTGGATGTAGCTGGTTGCAGGCAGCACCAGCAGCCACAAATTTTAGAGGAGTTAAAAACAATTGGGGAAGATCTCCTGAAGTATTTACATATCAGTGACTTTGGGCAGATGAAATTTTTGCACTTTGAATAACAGTGCTAAATTGTTTATTTTAACCAGATGCAAAGCCTAAGAGTAAGGAAGAGAAGCATGTGGAGGACAAGATTTGAGGGAGTGCTTAGCTATGACAGAGCTTACCTCTAGTCCACTTAAGAGTTATGCCCTCCTACTTTTTACACACTCACTGCCTGGCTTATACCCACAGTTGAATTTTAAAAAGGCATTTTATGGGTTTCTGTTTCATAAGACCTAAATTGAAATGGTTGTTCAAACTGTGAGAAAAGAACAACTACTGCAGGTCTCCACCAGCACCAATGCATAAGGTCAGGCATTGACTGACCTATTCCGGGAGCTGTAGTGGTAAAATGGTGGAAAGGGGCAGGGAGGGAGGCTATTATACTTGTTTCAGACCAAAAGTAATGACTTGATTGTTTGGCATAAGCTATGGAAAACTTGTTGCTCCTGTAAATTGAAAATTTTTAACATTGAATTGATTTACTGTATTTCTTATTGCCCTTAATATTTTTGCCAACCAAGATAGGGTATAGTAAGGAAATAATCTGTAACTCAGATTAGTGGGAAACATGCTTGTTTAAAAATATTTCAGATGTGTTTTATGTGATATCCTTGGAATAATAGTATAATAGTGTTTGAATCTGGACTTCCATTTCCTGAAGATCAAATTTGAGTGTGAAACAAATGAACCCATTTATATGAGAAAATTACTTCCATTGGCTTGTACATTTACACAACATGACATATAAAAACCAGACAGAGCTCAGTGCATCTAGTGCACAATTACAGTCATCATCAAAATCAAGGTTAAGATTTTTTTTATATCAGGGAAGGAGTATAAATTGGTGTCTAAGGAGACAATCAAGGAATGTTTGGGGTTAACTGTGCTCCATATTCAAGGTCATATGACAAGCTTGAAACTAGGTTTCAGAGGAATTTTCATTCCTTTTTCTGTGGAAATTAGAGTTACCAACTGCCTCAGAGGATAACCCTGAGTACACCTTCCTGATCTCCTCCTGAATCAGTACTGCAGCTTCCTAACAGAGTTTCAAATCAGCCTAAAAGTTGCAAAAGCAAAATCCTAGCAGGGTGGAGATAAAGAATTTATGTCACTTATAGTGCCTTTTGTTGCACAAAGCTTACCGACAAATCACTTATCTGCAGAAACATCTCTGTTTTTTCATTCTAATGAATGTCAATCATGTTTTAAAGTTATCAAAGAGTCTGCATACAAAATAATTTTCTTTAAAAAGTGATTCTCTTGATTATTACTTTGCCCCCATCCCTCACTTCCACCCCACCCCCCTCCAGGAATTCAATCTGTTCCAGTAAGCCCAGGTTGTATGCACAAAAAAGACCCAGTACTGTAATACCTCAGGAACTTCTGAATTTGTAATATAATTACCCTCCTAAAACCCTATATGGATATGGGAGCAAGGTGCTATTACTTCTGTTATACAGATGACAGTGGTTGCTTGAGAATTTTAAAAAAGTACCCCCAAGACCAGAGGCAAAGCCTGAGGGTGTCCTTGGGTAAAATGTCCTCCAGTAAAATGTTTGAGTTGCCCAAGGCTTCGCTTCAGAAAAAGTCTTCAAAGTTTGATCATGATGATATAAGATCATGTTTGGGAATGAAGCAGTGATGGTATGAAAAAGAAGGAAGATTTTTGCATATCTTTTAGCAAAGGTCTAGATAGCCTTTGAGAAGTGCTTTTACCATTAGTTAATGCAATAAAAAAAGCGAATCTCATCTCTCCCAGCACCACTTAGCCTTGCTCCAATAAACAAGTAATGGTACGAGCACCACGTAGTTGAGTAGAATGTTTTTCTTGTGCTTTGATCCTAATCTCTAGAGAAATATGTTTACTTTAAGTTTGCTGGAAGCTAGACTCTGTGTTTTGAAGGTCAGTTAAGAAATCTCTGGAGATCTGATGCTATTCACTCTCATGGAATGAAATGCTGACTCCAGCATTCCAGCTGCTAACTCGTGTCCTAGGCACAAGGAAAGATTGCCGTGTCTTCATTCCTTGGGAAAAGATGATTTTGTTATTTAAATTGGAACAAAGCTAAATACTGTTGATTTTTATGTACCTAGTAGGCATGGATACATGATATCATTTGTAGTGTTAGAATATTCCAAGGAGGCGCAGAGGGATGTTGTCAAGGACATGAGGATATTGTAACTGGGGTCCCTGGGGTCAAATTCAGAGAATGCAGCAGTCTCATGGTACGAATGATAAAACAGATGAAAATAAAACAACAGAGCTGGCTAGTCAGCCTGCTGTTATAGCAGATTAATATAGACTTTAGCTACAACAAATAGAACAGGGGCTTTCTGTAGAGTCAAATTATTTCCGATAAAATGTAGAGCACTAGAAGACTTCCAGTGAAGAAAGCCATAAGAAAATGGCTGTGAAGTTGTGACTCCTGATAAATGTAGAGTCATCAAGAAAAGAATGCTTGTTTTATCACTGGAGCTAAAAAGCACAGCCACAATATTAATATATCTCAATAATTTATCTTCATGTTTTCTAGAAATACATGTTGATCCCCCTTATGTTATATAAGTATAAAAAGCCCAGAAACATTAATACTACTTAGATGGGACTTAATATATACATCTGCTTGCAGATATATACATACAGGTAAAATATTACATCTTTTACTTCATGACAATTCTAATGGATTATTTCCCAAACTAAATATACCTGTCATTGAACTTCACCATCTTTTTCTTTAAGAACATATAATAATTGGAATAAGGCTCCTTATTAGAGAGGCAGAAAGAAAGAAAAATGATGGCAACATAAATCCTTGGAACAAGACTGAAGGATATAAAAAACCCAATTTGATCTATTATGAGGAGGACACTCCTGTGAGCCACCCGAGGTACTTGCTCATTTTCAGGTAAGTACAGGTTTTTACCTTCTAACATGATTTTGATTATTTGCATGAACTTGCTAACTTCATTTTCACACCTTTTTTTTTTTTTTGTGAGAACTGCTGAACAATTTGTCACATACATTTGCAGACATTAAGGATACTATAATTTATATGTTTCTAAAATTGGCTAGAGAAGCAATAGGAACTAGGGGCATATATTACAAATCAAGACAATTATCTACAGGAAAGCAGAGACACAGATGCTAACTTTGAATAAGCTGTTTTATCTCTGTGGCACGGCATAGGTTCTGGAAGCTTCTGAGTGAGTGCAGAGCTCTCACTGATGACATTCTCCTTGAAGCAGCCAAGATGGATGCCAACCAGGATGCTGCTGTAACAATCTGACTATATTGCTTCAAGGTTCACAAGTGAGACCATTTTGGTTGGCTGTCTAGGGAAAGCAGGTAATTTAGAGGTTGATCTGGTAATTTGTACTGAATTGTACTCTGTTTACACACCCCATGACTACAAGCAAAAAGGACAAGAGTTGTGGCTTAGCTAGGGGATCGAGCATCTCAGGAATTCCATAATTTTCTCCTTAATTGGTATTGCCTTCTGCTTTGTTTACACCATGCAAACTCAAATGTTGGTGTAGTCATCTAAATAATTTCTTTTACTTTTTTCTGATATAATTCTTACCCACATTTTTTGCAGGTTTTCACATAGTGTGGTAAAGCCAGTTTTCTCCTGTGCTCATTATGGAACTCATTCCTTTCTGACTGCTGTCAGATTTATGGAATAAAATGAAGTGATGAAATACTTCAGCTGTGCATTGGTGTACCTTGTAATGTAAAATCCTGTCAGTATTCTCAGTCATACT